ATAGCATCATTTCTTCCATGTTCTATTGGTTTAAGTGGTTATAAACCTTCCCAGGGCATAGACCCTCCTTCTTAATGGGAGGAGTGTCAAATAACACGGACATGTTTCAAAACCTCTTCAGTCCAGCCTCTGGCCATACACTGATGTACATTCCTCCCCAGTGCAAAAATGTTCCCCCTTTCCAAATATCCCTCCAACCTGGAGATCCAGGGTTTAAGTTGAGTCCAGGTGCAGCTGTGGCTCCTCTGGCGTGGTTCCTCGGTTATAGCTCGAGTACTTTGCAAGTCTTCTGCTGGGAGAGACTAGGAAGATGAAGTAGTGGTTGTACTTCTGAATCCCAAAAGTCCTGGCTCTCGTATTCTCTCTAAATTTTGCTTGAAAAGTGACCAATTCCATTTTTTATAATTAATTAATTATGTATTTATTTATTTATTTTTGGCTGCGTTGGGTCTTTGTTGCTGCACGTGGTCTTTTTCTAGTTGAGGCGAGCGGGGGCTACTCTTTGTTGCGGTGTGTGGGCTTCTCATTGTGGTGGCTTCTCTTGTTGCGGAGCACAGGCTCTAGGCACGCGGGCTTCAGTAGTTGTGGCTCGTGGGCTTCAGTAGTTGTGGCTCGCAGGCTTCAGTAGTTGTGGCTCACGGGCTCTAGAGCACAGGCTCAGTAGTTGTGGCGCACAGGCTTAGTTGCTCCATGGCATGTGGGATCTTCCCGGACAAGGGCTCGAACCCGTGTCCCCTCCATTGGCAGGAGGATTCTTAACCACTGCGCCATTAGGGAAGCCCCCCAATTCCTTTTTTTAGTTAATCTCTTTCTATCCTGTCTTATTATTGTGGTAAAATAAACCATTGATACTTCCAGGATGCTGGAATCCTTGTGCTTGGGCCCCTGGGCCAGCCAACAAGGTGGGGGTGGCCTGTGTCTGTCTCCGTTTTTGCCGAGCCTTGGGCTATATTGTGTTGGTCCACGCCATCACAGGCCTGCCAAGATGCAAAGGAAGGAGACTGGAAGAATGTCACAGAAGTTCTCATCTGACAAGATGTTCATAAGACAAAGAAATTTAGTAAACTTAGTTATTATTCCTTGAATTGTCACCTCTCAATTATAAGAGTTGGATTTTTTTAAACCTTTAAAAATCATTTTAAAAAGCAAATATCATTGATATTTTAAAATAGGGATCATGAATATGCCTACAGGATGGATTTTTTTTTAAGAACTAATATGTGAATAAGGACTTAATATGGCTTGGGATAAATTTTCCATTAATAACATTACACACAAAATTTTTAAATGCTGTTGTATCTCAATTAGCTTAGGTGCAAGTTAAGCTGGTACTTCCAGTAAATGGTGTTAGATGAGTCAAGAAGTGGCTGTAGCTATGATGGACATATTGAAATACTGTAAAGAGTTTGAGCAAAATTGTTTCATTAAAGAAAATAGGAAAAAGCAATATTTCTTAAATGTGTGACTTTAAATATTTATATAAATATGTTTGTATCCCTGAAAGTTTATTCAAGTTAACGTTTTTTTTAGATCTTAATTGGAAAGACAATGGATTGTATATTGGAGGTTGCCATGTACTGAAGCACACAGCAGCCACTTTAGAAAAATGTGCTAGTGATACCTGGTGTCAGTAAATAACATCCAACATATCCTCCGTCAAGGAGAGTTAGAATGCTGTCTTTTTAAATGAATTAGACTGAAATTCTTGTTTTATTTTATTTTTTAGCTATTGCCTTCTTTTATTTTTAAAACCTTTTTTTAAATGATATTAGGAAAATAGCTTACTTTTAATTCCCTCTAGAATTTAATTTTAAAGGCTCTCATAAATGGCTAAATTAATCAAGAAACCTTATTAAATTCTACAAAATGGATATTTCTTGGAAGAAGATACTTCAATTATATATAGTACAAATATATCTCTTTATTTTATTTTTTTAGACAGCAGGTTCTTATTAGTCATCCCCTTTATATACATCAGTGTATACATGTCAATCCCAATCTCCCAAAATCATGCCACTCCCTTCTGGCTTGTAGAGTTTCTGGTGAGAAATCAGCTGTTAACCTTATGGGGATTCCCTTGTATGTTATTTGTCATTTTTCCCTTGTTGCTTTTAATAATTTTGCTTTGTCTTTAATTTTTGTCAGTTTGCTTACTATGTGTCTTGGCATGTTTCTCCTTGGGTTTATACTGCCTGGGACTCTCTGCGCTTCCCGGACTTGGGTGGCTATTTCATTTCCCATGTTAGGGAAATTTTTGACTATAATCTCTTCAGATATTTTCTCAGGCCCTTTTTCTGTCTCTTCTCCCTCTGGGACCCCTCTAGTGAGAATGTTGGTGCGTTTAATGTTGTCCCAGAGTCTCTTAGGCCGTCTTCATTTCTTTTTTCTCTATTCTGTTCCTTGGCAGTGATTTCCACCATTCTGTCTTCCAGGTCACTTATCCGTTCTTCTGCCTCAGTTATTCTGCTATTGATTCCTTCTAGTGTAGTTTTCATTTCAGTTACTGTATTGTTCATCTCTGTTTGTTCTTTAATTCTTCTAGGTCTTTGTTAAACATTTCTTGCATCTTGATCTTTGCCTCCATTCTTTTTCTGAGGTCCTGGATCATCTTCACTATCATTATTCTGAATTCTTTTTCTAGAAGGTTGCCTATCTCCACTTCATTTAGTTGATTTACTGGGGTGTTCTCTTGTTCCTTCATCTGGTACAAAGTCCTCTGCCTTTTCATTTTATCTATCTTTCTGTGAAGATATGAATGTGGTTTTCGTTCCACAGGCTGCAGGATTGTAGTTCTTGCTTCTGCCATCTGCCCTCTGGTGGATGAGGCTATCTAACAGGATTGTGCAAGTTTCCTGATGGAAGGGACTGGTGGTGGGTAGAGCTGGGTGTTGCTGTGGTGGGCCAAGCCTAGTTCTGGACCACTTCAGAGACTTCTGCCAGATCAGCAGGGAATTCGGGGCCTCTGTAGACCCGGAAACCCTCTGCACCCTTTGTGAATTGGAATGGCTGACATTTGAGGTGGGATGGCCATCCGGAGGTACGTTCTTTATTCCGGTTATAGATGCGGTGGAAGATATTGTCTTTAAGGCACATGATGATCAGATTCTCTATATTGAGTGTTGGCGGGGTCTCGTGGAGACACCATCTGACTGGCTGAGGCCCTGGTTGACCCCGCAGGGAACTGCCAACAGAAAGGAAACAAGATCTAAAGATAACATATGTGCCGCCAAGATGGGGGAACGGGAAAAAAACTAATGTTAAAAGCTCTAAGTCCCCACCCCCTCCTCTTGTAGGGGAGGGAGAGGAAGAAGAAGAAACCCCTCCTCCCGAGGCATCTGGGCCTCCCCCTCCCTATGTCCTTCCCCAGGCGGATACCGGCCCTGATGACGACATCCTCCCAGGTCGGCCCAGGAGCACTTGACTAAACCATGACCCACTGCTGTGCCTCTGCGGCAACAAGCACGTAGACCTGGGGAGGTACAGCCTTTTCTTACTTACGCCCCATTCTCCACAACTGATTTATATAATTGGAAATTAAAAAATCCTCCATTTTCTGAGAAACCACAAGCATTAATATTACTGTTAAAAACTCTATTTGTAACTCACCAACCGACCTGGGATGATTGTCAGCAGTTGTTACAGGTTTTGTTTACCACGGAAGAAAGAGAAAAAAATCACTGTTGATGACTGTTCAGCAGTCAGTTGTGATTCCGGTGCTCTCGCAAGAGGGAGTGAGCACACGTCCTTCTACTCTGCCATCTTGAACCCCATATATATCTTTCTAAATGGGTTCCTATTCAGGTTTTGTCACTAGTGTGGTATGGTTTTCAACAAATTACCAACCACTAATTTCCTAATTTTTCCTTTCAGGAAGCCACTGTTAATCATTTTTTTTAAAGTTTCTGTAATCTTTGATAGTGTTCAGTTTAATCTTTGGGAGGTAGATTTACAGTTTTTGTGACTTTGCTCAAAGGATTTAAATTTTTTGCACCAGCCACATTTTTAAATGGAGTTTAAAATGCCTCTTTGTGGCGCAGCACTGTGCTTTTAACAGTATAAAATACTAAGGAAGTAAAAGAGTTTACATAAAGCTACACTCTAATAAAAACAAGTAATGGTTACTCTAAAAAAAATATTGTTAAAACAAAACAAACGTACCATTCTGTTAATCTGATATAATGTATTAATTTTTAGCCCAGACTTAAGCTGAAACACTGAGCCAACTTAATATTTTTAGAAACTTCTGACAGATGTTCAGTAATAATTGTGACTTACTGAAAATTGTTATAATAATGAAAATTTAAGAATTTAGCATGTTGATAAAAGCTTCATTTGATAATCATAGTATGGAAAATATTTTTCTTTGTTAAAAATTCCTTTTATATAATGTATTTATTTGGCTTTTGTTTAGTCAGGAATAAAAGTTTGACTTTTATAATACAAGTATTTGTTTTAATGCCAATATTAAGGTCATAAATCTTGTGTAGTAAAATATTTTCAGGTTAAGTTGAAGGTTTCAGAATATTCTGGGTTTGCTTTTGCTATTTTCTGGCCATTGTTTGCATTGCTGCGGACATTTTATTTTTTGAAGTATACCCTCCAACCAATAAAAACCATCTCAGCTAAGTATTGCGTCTGTGCACTCCACCAGAGGTTTCTAACTTTTAAACTGCCTTAGGAGAACATAAAACGAATGTGACAAAGGCATTTTCCATAAATTATACCAGCAGTGTACAACCAGTGCCATGAACATTTCTTATTAAAATACTTTTATGGTTTTATGTTAGCATTTTATTCCCAAAGAACCCAACAAGCATAAAACTCTAAGCTGCCTCTGAATTTTTTTCTACCCAATTGTAGTCTGGATGTCACTGGCATTATTTCATACATCCCTTTTCGTGACTTAATGTAGTTTCCATTTATAGGAGCTAAAGCATAAACCATCATATTTCTGTGCTGCTTTGTTTAGCCATTTTCCCTTTTTTTGCTCACTTCTATAGCTTTTCTGCAATTAGATAAAAAGGGACCACAAAAACATCACTTTGATCAGCCTTCAGTAGCACCTAGGAAAAACTACTCTTTCACAAGAGAGGAGGTGAGACAGATTGATCGGGAAAATCAGAGGCTTTTGAAAGAACTGTCGAGACAGGCTGAAAAACCAGGAAGCAAAAGTACGATTCCAAGAAGATCGACTGGTCCTCCCCCTAAGTTATATCATAGTGCTCTCAACAGACAGAGGGAACAACAAAGGATTGAAAGAGAAAATTTGGTAAGTAACTGAGATTTTTTTCGTCATCAAAGAAAATGCATTTGTACTGATTTGTTAGTCCAACTTTCAAGAAACCCAATACAGCGAAATTTTCTAACTTACTTATATAAAAGTAGGAATAGATATGTATGGCCTGAAATACATGATGAGCTATGAGCCTGGAAGGTACAATGTGTGCTTTTTTATCCAGGAAACTATATTTTAAGGGAATATTAAATGAAAATACTGAAAGCTCCATTATTTATTTGACTATATCTGTGAAATCACTATAGTAGTACAGGAAATGGTGTCCAAGGGTGAGATACATATCTCTTCTGGAGAGCTAAATCTGTTTCATTTCATTTTATCCTCGAAAGCTAAAATAATTTAAGTATCATTTATTTTAAATAATAAATACATTCTCAGAGAGGTCAAATTTGTTGCCCTGCTGCTTGAATGTATGAAAGACATTGATTGTTAAAAACCATATAAGTACCCTTTGATGTCCTAAGGAATATATATGGAAACTGTTGAAAATATTCACATTAAAAACTATTTATTCATAGCATGTCATTTTCTTTATAAAATGCAGTTCATAGTAATTGCTGATATTTATTGAGCTCTTTAATGCTGGGCATTGTTCTAAGTGTCTTCTAAATATTAGCTTGTTGAATCCTGACAATAATTCTTTCAGGTAGGTACTTTATTTTTATCCACATCTTACAAATGGAATAATTGAGACCTAAAAGGGTTAAATAATTAACCCATGGACAAGGAGCTGGTAAGGAAGTGGCTAAGCCAAGATTTTAAACCCAGGTAGCATCTTAAACTAAAATTAGACCCTTAATGAGCACATACATTGGGAGCTAAAATAATTGGTAAAGCCATTATTAAACTTACTAGAATAATTAGCAAAATTCACCCTCATTATGTTTTGTCATCAGTACAGTTCTATTTGACTATGTACTTAACCTGAACTTGCAAGAGTAACAACTCTTGTGAATTTCTTTGTTACCATCACTAGCACCAGGAGTTGGCGAGCTGGGTTGGTATATTTACAAAAATAGTACTCTTGGGCCTTTTAGGAGAGTCACCCTGAATGTGGCAGGAAGTAGGTAACAGCAAACAAGTTGAAGTGAGGTTGGTGGGTAGTGAGCTACATGATAACTTCCTGCACGTCACTCTGGCAGTTTCAAGATTCATTCATGATTTAAGAAAATTTGGAATTAGTATGTGTCACGAACATTTGGTTTTACCTTATTTTCACTCTCCCACATGGCTCTGGAGTCTTGTTTTGTTTATTTAACAAGCAGTTGCATAGTGCATACTGTTTTACAATTTTAGGTCATTTAATTCTCGTAGCAACCTAACGACACAGTTACTGTTGTTGTGGAGGAGAAAATGAGACACTGAGTAGGGCGCAGGGACTTCCTCAAGGTTAAACAGCTAGCAGGTGGCAGAATCATGTCCTGGTTACCTAGCTTTGGGGTTACTTTTTTTTTTAACAGCTTTTTTGAGATATAATTCACATACCATACTCATTTAAAGTGTACAATTCATAAGTTGTAGTAAAATATATGTAACATAAAATTTGCCATTTTGTTTTTAAGTGATTGATTCAGTGGCATTAATTACATTCACAATGTTTGGCAACCATAGCTACTACGTCAGTTGAGATGTATCAGTACATCTCAGCTGTTTTAATAAACAGTGGAAAATTACCACCATTTTATTCTTTTTACTTTGTATGCTTAGTAATATGTATATGTGAGCAATATTTTTCTCCATTTCATAGTAAGGTCTTATTTGTTATACTCTAGGACAGTAGAATATAATGTGAACCACATGTATAATTTAAATTTTTCTAGTAGCCACATTAGAAAGGTCAAAGAAACAGGTGAAATTATTCTGCTATAATATTTTAACTGACTAAATCAAAAATATTACATTTTAACATGTAATCAATATAAAAAATTGATATTTTACCCTTTTTTGGTACTAAGTCTTTGAAACCTGTTGTATATTTTATACTTAGAGCACATCTTAATTTGGACTAGCCACGTTTTAAATGCTCTGTAGCTACATGTGGCTTGTGGCTTTGGGCAGTGCAGCTCTGAAACAAAAGCTTAATTCATAAGAAGTGGAAAAAGTAGCTTAAAGCTAAACAGGAAAATAAACATAATTTATTATAAAATATTATTACGTTATTGTAAAGAAAAGTAATCTTCCAGATTTATGCTTAACTCTTCATCATCTATACCAAAATAAAACTAATTCTATACCTTTTAAAATTTTTTCTTGGCTGTTCCTTTGCATTTATTCTTCATACTAACTGATTTTTTTCTTTATAAAAAGTTTTTTTATTAAATTTTTGTTGGAATTGTGTTGACTTTACATTTTAATTGCAGAGTGTTTGGCACTCTTAAAATATTACCTTCCTATCTAGAAATATGGTATGTCTTTCCATTTACTCAAGCCTTCTTATACTCTACCTTAGTAAGGTTTTATAGTTTTTTTTTAACTATGTATTTTTATGCTATTGCCATGAAATTTTTCATTACATTTTCTAATTGGGTACTTCTGTAAATCATCACTTTTTGTGTATTTATTATATAAGCAGCCACCTACCAAATCCTTATTTAGAGCCACATTGGCTCTAATAGTTCCTCAGTGTGAGATGATATACTTTTTAACCTGTTTGCTAAACTGTTCGTAGTCTAAACACATATGCATGGGTACAGATGTGCTCACACAGCACTTGTGTCAGGTGTACTGCACAAGCAGGGTCCATTACTTTTTAATTTTCATGATTTATAATCCTTCATTTGCTCCATCTCCAGTGATAGAGGCCAGTTCAGATGGCTAACAGGCATGATGACTAAAGCAGTTCTGTTCCAGTACTCTCAAATTAGTTCATTAGTAATCCAGAGGCTGTTCAGACTTGAGACAAAGAAGTGCTGTGCAGAAGAGGTAGAAAAGGAGAGCCCTCTATCCAGTAGAGGGCGTGCTTGCTACATATAGACTCAATTATATTAGAACTTCATTATTTCAAAAGGGAACAAATTTTTTCATTCATGAATTTTGAAATATTCTTGTGAAACCATGTCTCTTTATATTCATTTGGACATAATATGAATTCTGTTTTTATGAAAGAGTGCAAGAATAACCTTAGCAGAAGGAGAGGGGGTCAGTGAGGATACTTACTTTATAGTTTCACCTTACTCTAAAAATAATGAGGCTATTTCATGCTCTTAAATGTATGTATGTCAGTTTCCTGTGCTGTGAAAAGGGGGTGGGGAGAGGAGTAATTGAATAAAGTAAACCATAATCTTTCCACTCAGGAGTTACTGTGTTAAAATATTATTTTTAAAGTAAAAGTAATGCATGTATAGGCTTGGCCAAAAAATTTGTTCGGGCTTTTGTAACATCTTACAGAAAACCCGAACGAACTTTTTGGCCAACCCAATGTAAATTTATAAAATTCAAACCAGTCTTAAAAACATTAAATCCAATAAAATCCTTCCTCCTTCTTCTGTTCTTTGTCTGCTGGTTTAGGGAGGTAATTTTAGTTATATGTGAAAACTATTAGAGAGTGATATGTTGTCACAAAGATGAAGTTTTATAGCAAATCTCATACCAAGTATGAGTATTATCTGTGGATTAGTCAGTACCTTTGTTCCAAGGTCTTGAAATAATTTACAGTTCACTCACTTTGGTTTTCCTCCTCTGCTTATTGTCTGTTATCTCCTTCCATAGAAGAAAGCAAGCTAATGATAACAATACAACTCCAGCTATAGACAAATATGTAGAACAGTGGTGATTGTCCCAGACTGTAGGACACTTGTTACTCTTTAATGTCCTTCGGGGTCTTTGCTTTTTCACTTTAGAAACAATAAAGCAATAAAGCTGTTCTGCCGACAGCTGCAGAAATCATTAACTCACTGCTTGTCCATTCATTTGTTTTAACCTTTCCACCTCAGAAGACAGGATTCAGGCTGGGTTAATTTTCTTTCGAAAAAGAATGATACTTCCTAGATAGAAAAGCGATATTTGAACAAGCTGTTCGGATTCATTATTAGAATCTGATTTGAGTAGCAGTTCTAAGATTTTGTAAACCATAAATGGGAATATAAGTAACCATTCTTACATTTTTCAATCCATTAAACACATATTTGTTTAATGTCTGCTATGAGCTATGTAAGAAACTGGAATGGATATAAGAAAGAATATAAAATACTGCCCTATCATTAATATATAACTTAGCTATGAAGATAATACTAGAGTGTGTCAGACAACTAGAAAATAGTCAAAGCAGTATTAAGGATAGCAATTAATATTTAATAAGTCCTTACTATATGCCAGGCAGTGTTCTGAGCATTTTATATGCATTATCTCACTTAGTACCCTAAACTGACTCTTTGAGTTTTATTTCATTGTTAATATCACTATTAAGTCATTTGACCAAGGTCACACAATCAGTGGCAGAGCAAAGGTTTAAATCCAGGTCTTTCTGACTAGAAAACATATTTTTTTATCACTCAATTACAAGTGTTACAGTATTTTGACCTATCATTTTTAAGTCTTACTCAGGAGTTGTAAATTGATGACTAGATTGAAATGTATATACTTTTGATTTTAGGGTTTCTACTGTAATCCTTCATATTTTTATCAGTATATTGTTTCTAAAAGTAAGAGCTGTTTGTATCTGAAATCATTCCTTTAGCTTTTGCTGAGCTTGTTGTGTTCATATCGCACACAGATACATGGCACGGTTCCGTGTGATTTGGATAGCTGAACCAAATCATTGCTCTCTTACTTCCCTAGGTTTCTGCATGTAATCTTGATAAGTGACATATCAGCATTACAGAATGGGTTTACTTTTTGCCTTATTGTTAACTTATTTCAAAATTGATTTTGATCACATTACTTTATATGTTTTATATCTGATAAATAAGCATTGCAGTTTTCTTAAAGTTTGTAAAAGAAAAATGTACATACAATCAAATGAATAAATTTAGGGAATTATCAGTTTATCTAAAAAACATTGACTTCTACCAGCAAAAAAACAAAATTAGTAGGTAACTGAAAATACCAAGTTTTCTGTGCTGTCCATTCCACCGTGCACAGCTCAATGGGTAGTTAATAGGATAATCAGATAAAACAGCGAATGGTTCTCTACCCAGTAAAATACATTGATGATGTGATACCCAGCAAGTTTCTTACTCAGTTATAAACTGCACGTGGAGGAGATATATTAGTTGGTAGGTCTTGGCACCTAAATTGTACAGTTTCTCTGTCTACAAAGAGAGAAAGACAGCATGTTATTATGGAAAGACCGTAGACTTTATAGTCAGGTGGAACCACAGATAAATCCTGACTCTGAACCCAGCAAAGACAACCATTACTCTAGTTGTGTAAGACTTCACTGAGGAGTTGACTCTCTTCTAGCGTTTGAAGGCTCAGAACTGAAGAAGGCCGTTTCATGCAGGTAGATGACCGGCAGGCTGAGTCCTCTGGGTGGGTCCGGCTGCTTCTTCCTGTGTCCTGCGCCTCTGCCTTTCATCTGCAAGCTCCTTTCATTCTACAACCCCTGCTCTCCTTTCCTCGATAGCTATTCCCTGAATATTCTGGCTTCTCTGGAATCGCGCAGGAACACTGATGATGGAGCCTTAGAATAGCAGGGTGGGAGGGGGCTGATAACAGTTGAGAACAAGTTCTGGAGACAGTTGGTGGTGGTGAACTGTAGGCTTAAAAACGGTTAGAATGGTAAATCGTATGTGGATTATACCACAATACAAAGAAGAAACTAAGTTGAGGGAGAAGGAAAAAAGACTGTCCAGAGAAAACTTGTCCTATGACTGAACTCATGAGGCTAACTTTATAATGTGAATCTTAGTGCAGGACAGCATTCTCTTTTCAAATAAAGATCAACTTGCTATAGAGGAGGTTTAAGTCAATGAAGAAAATAATAAAACACAACCATGGATCAATTCCCCCATCCATTTGGTCTACTTAAACATTCCTTTCTCACTGAAGCTTGTGAAAATCAAACAAAAGAAACTCTTTCACCTTCTGATTTGTGAAGGAAGGATTATGAATAAAATTAGGGACATTACACATTAGCCTCTGTTACAGAATCGTATTAATGCACATACCACACTACTGGATACTGTCTTGCCTTGGCTAGTTGGTCTATACAATCTTTAAAAAGCTTTATGTTCTATAGTAGTTGATTTCAAACTTCTTAAGAGCAAAAACTTTTTTTTTCCAAACAATTTTATGCAGAATCTTCAATATATAAAACAGACAATACAGAAAGCATAGTTGGGCCGGTAGAAATTAGGAGTGGGAGACCTGAGAGGCCGGCCCATTGGCCTTTCCTCAACGTCCTAGGAGCCCTGAGGCACCACTGGAAAGTAAACATGTTGACAGTCACTGCTCTGTGCGCGTATATAGATAGAACTTATAATAGTAGCTTAGATATGTTCACAGTCATTTCTAGGGTTGAATGCTGGGCTCTTAGCATTATTGCTCCCATTATGTCATTTCTACGAGAAAATCAGGTTTAATGTATTTTAGCTTACAGCACCTTTTCTAAGATTGTAACCCGACAAAGAAGAGAGATGTGCCTACAGTCGGTTGTTAAAATCATAGCGGTTTTGGTTAGCCATAGGATAGGTGAAAACCCTTAGATTTCCTGAAAGTACATTATTTGAAATATTTTTTCACAGTGACTTAAAGTCTTTTCTACTTTATTTTGTGAATTTCAGGTTCTAGAAAGTATTCGCCTTTTTAAAAAACTATTGCTATTTTTCTAATGTTGGCTTTTAAATTGGTTGTCTTTAAATGAAGGCTTTATTGAAACGGCTTGAAGCTGTGAAACCAACAGTTGGTATGAAACGCTCAGAACAGCTGATGGACCATCACCGCAACAGGGGTTATCTCAGCTCAGCCCCAGCCTCCAGACGAGTGAGGTCCACTCTTGGCCAGTACAGCCCGTTAAGTAAGCATACTCAAAATTATTTTGTACTTGTTCGTGTCTTTTGTCCTTTTAAGAACATATAACTTTGGTTCTTAACGATAGAGTTTTAAAGTGCTTACTACTGGAATGCGATCTGTTGTTTTTCACCGGCGTGCTTTGTTTTATTTGTGTTACTTCATTAATTTCAGGTTTCATTTACAGTGTATAATGGCAGCATAGGAGGGAAGCCAGGAGAAAAAACAATTGAAAATATCAGTTATCTCTTAGATAATGGAGGAGAGACTTTTACTTTCAATATGTTTATTTAAGGAAGAAATGAACAGATATGCTATTTAAAGTCGCTGAAACATTCTCTTTAGCCAGTTAAGAATTTTTAGTAGTATCTTCCAGCCCTAATATGTGCTTTTTCTTCCTCATTGGTAACTAAAAGAAGAATTAGCAATCTGTAGTCATCAGATTAATCCCTCTTAATACTTAATATATGATCCGTTACATGCCTGGCCGGTAGTGTGTCCCAGAGAACGCAGGTGGGAGTGACCACTGAGTGCTAGGGTGTGTGACGCATGGAAAGGCCAGACCTTTTTCCTTACAGAAGTCTGTGCTGTTCATGTACGTGTTCAAAACTATAAAGTCTGGGGCTTCCCTGGTGGTGCAGTAATTGAGAGTCTGCCTGCCGATGCAGGGGACGCGGGTTCGTGCCCCGGTCCGGGAAGATCCCACACGCCGCGGAGCGGCTGGGCCCGTGAGCCATGGCCGCTGAGCCTGCGCGCCTGGAGCCTGTGCTCCGCAATGGGAGAGGCCACAGCAGTGAGAGGCCCGCGTACCGCAAAAAAAAAAAAAAAAAAGAAAACCTGTAAAGTCTGTAGAAGCTAATCCTAAGAGAAAGTTGGAACCGCTTGTAATCTTAAACACTCAAATGACTAGTAATTCCGTTCACTCATCCCTCAAGCATCATTTCCTTGGCTGAGTTCATGACTAAGAAACGGTCTTATTCCAATTACTCACACTTAGTATTATGCCTTGAAAGCAGTAAATTATTTGTTGACTAAATGTATAAGTGGTTATACATAGAGATTTTTTTCCCACTTGAATCCTTTGAGAAGCTTTTAAAAACATTTATTCCCACTCCAAATCTGTTGAATCAAAATGCCCTAATATAGCGTTTGGGCATGTTTGTTATTATATTTTTAAGTTCCACGGGGAATTCAGAAGTACATTCCTGGTTGAGAATCAAATTAGACTATTAAAAACACCTGTGAGATAGGGAAGACAGTTTTATTCTGGGCTTCAAGATAGGAGAGGAAGTTTATTAGATGATGATTTATATATTTAGTTTAAATAATTCAAATCATTTCTTATTCTTTATATATTTTCAGGAGGAGCTTCCAGGACATCCAGTGCTACCAGTGGTCTCAGTTGTAAGAGTGAGCAATCAGCTTTTGACACATCCAGTGGCCTGTTGCTAAGACCTAAGCCCCCTAATGTCCGTACAGCTTGGTTATAAAAACTCTTTTTACTTTAAACATTGATCATCAAATTTTTATTGAAGTGCTTTTGTATATTACTATCATTCTCTGTATAAACATCTAAATACTTCTTTAAGCAGTTTAAGGTATACAACAGTGACTTGTAATTTATTGTAATTTGATGCAAAATTGTTTTGAAAAAGACAATTTAATATAAAATCAGTGTTTCCTGTGAGGAGTTTATAGGAGACTTGTATGTATTTTACAGAGAAATGGTAGTATGCCGGTGTATTTGTTCAACATAGAAATTGGTTCAGCTGTCAGACTGACAAAACAGTTGTGATAGCATCGCTGAACGTTGGACCCAAGATGTTAGCTATATAGTTCTTGTTTGTTGTTTTTTCATTTCTTGTAAGCTTTATACCCTGAGCATAGCTCCTGACTGACTATTTTCTCTTTGCTTCAGAACTTGCGCAGTGTGACTTATAACTTAATTGTAAGATAGTTATTATGAAACAAATCTTGAAATTTGTTTTCATTGGTGGAGCTGATTTAGATTTGATGAGCAGATTGAGTGAAGCTTGAACTGGGGCAGTCCTTGTGATTCGCCAGAGGTGCCTACTACTTCTGTAGAAGGGAACTGAGTTAGATCTCAAACACGTTATCAACCATTCTGAACCATTTCAAACTGTGAGTATTACAAAGCTCAACTTAGAAGCTCCTCTTTCATGTTTTTATATATTCAGGGAAAGTAGTTGATGATTCTGAGAAATTAGGTTTCTTTAGAGCCACTGCATTGTGAATAGTTTGTCCAAGGACCAGATCATCATAAGCAAAAGCAAGTATCTATTGAATCAGCAAAATAGCACCACCAGTTTGAAGAGCCAAGAAGCAGATCCTGAGTTGTCTCAGGACAGTGTTTTAAGTGATGCTGTTAATGAGTTGTGTTATACTTAGAGTTTATTGTTTCAAGTGAGAAGAAAAGAAAGAAATGCATTGTCTCGCAGCTTTAGAAATTCCAGCTAGTGTTTTTTTTTTTTTTTTTTTTGCTGTACGCGGGCCTCTCACTGTTGTGGCCTCTCCCGTTGCAGAGCACAGGCTCCGGACGCGCAGGCTCAGCGGCCATGGCCCCCGGGCCCAGCCGCTCCGCGGCATGTGGGATCTTCCCGGCCCGGGGCACGAACCCGTATCCCCTGCATTGGCAGGCGGACTCTTAACCACTGCGCCACCAGGGAAGCCCCCAGCTAGTGTTTTTAAGGGCTGAAAAAGCAAACTAAAAATATGAATGATAAAGGGGGGAAAAATCACGTTTGTTGAGGCTACTTTAAATGTCAGCTAACTTTCTTGCTTTGTTTTGGTTTGGGCATTTGTGTTGAATCCTGGAATTATCATTTTTATCAGTCCCACTTTTAAAGTCCTAATAATCTTAAATGGAATTAATAATGGCGAGTAGGGTGTAATATAGTTGACTTTTAAAATTAGAATATTTTTTCTGTCAATCTATAGGCTCTTATATTATACAACAAAGTATATCTAGGTCATGTTGCTTCTGCTGTCCTAATTATCACTGTTTTCATTACTGGCCTTTTCTGTATACCTTAAAATGTATTGGAAAGTTTCTATATTAAATGCCAAATCTTTTTCTTAGTGTGAATTTTTTATCTGTAACCACAGTAAGATTTGTTTTTTGTTTTTCTGGGTTAACTCAAGCTCTGTAGCGTGCACGCCGAACTTACTTTTCTTAATACCTTTGGCAGTAAGCCAAACTGCATTTTACTGAACATCAATTCAGAATTTCTTGGTCTTAGTTTGTATTGATAGATTTTGTTTAGGATAGGGCCTGTGAAACGTGGGAAGAATGGGGTTAAAAAATTTGTGTGAACACAACCTGACTGAGATTTTTCTGCTGCTTTCTTTGAGCTTATAATGTTCCTTGGCTGTTATTTGATATTCTGTTCTGGTGAACAGATTTTTCCATCACTTAGTGCTCTGCTTTATATATAAATTTTAGCTATACTAAACCAAGGTTTTTGTTTTGTTTTTTAACTTATTGCACTTTTAGTGTTTGTATAACAACCTATCTTTAAGGAGCGATGATAATGTTGAATTTAAAATTCAGCATTTGAATATCTGCTCAGTAGTGAGTTAGCCAATTTTTTTAAATTGATTTTTAAGTTGTTAGAGAAAAAAAAGTATGAAACCTTTTATGTAATAGCATTAGTCTCTGAATACATTTTGTGTGGTCTTTGCTACCATATGTCAGGATACAATTATAATTTTATAGATAAGGCTGTACTTTTATTTTTGATCATTAATTTTTTTTTCTTTGTATTTTGATTTTAGATACTAATATAATGCCTTTAGTTTTTACTACGTTAACAGGGGTGGTTCATCTAAGTATTTCTGACAACGGGTTCAACTTGAAGTAAAAGTCAGGAAGAGCAACAATATTCATCTTTTCAAAGTGGAATTTACTATTCTGTTGTCATGATTCGTTTATATGATAAGTATAAATAGAGGGACAGGAGTTGAAAATGTGATATTCTCTGATATAAGTCAAGGTACTTCTAAGATGTCATGGTTTAAGGGGTATTTTTATGAAGGAATCATAAGTATACTATTTTCATTTTCAAGAACATAAAAGTGAAGGATCCTCTAGCACTACTTTACATTTGGTTCACTTGTACCTATGATATATATTTTGAAGATTTACACGTGCAACTAGAAATTATACTAATCCAAGGTCTACAATTACTAGACAAGGTTCTTATTGAGAGTTATTTTCATATCTGTCAAATGTTAAACTGATGTTACATCCTTTTTAATAAGATTCTATGAAAGATTTTTTTTTTTTTTTCGCGGTACGCGGGCCTCTCCCTGTCGCGGCCTCTCATTGCGGAGCACAGGCTCCGGACACGCAGGCTCAGCGGCCATGGCTCATGGGCCCAGCTGCTCTGCAGCATGTGGGATCTTCCCAGACCGGGGCTCAAACCCATGTCCCCTGCATTGGCAGGCGGATTCTCAACCACTGCGCCACCAGGGAAGCCCCAGAGTCTGAGTTTTAAACAGATTCTTGGACTGGTGGTTCATCTCCACCAGCTCTTTCACCTCCCTCATCCCCAAGCTTGTCCAGAATTGCTCCCTTCACCTTGAAGCTCCATGAGTTTTCCCAGTTCAAACGTGGGCTTCTTCAGCATTTTTACTTTTCTAACAAGTCTTCATGGAGCAGGTAAATAGGCTGGCAAGCCTCTCTATGTCTTGTCCAGTGCTGTCTGGAATCAATTTATTGACCACTTCTCTCGAGTCATTTGTCTGCACCTCTTGGGCTGTGATTTCCACCACCTCCCGAATTCAGTGGGCCTGTGGGGCGAACTCATGAGATCCCGTGGGGATCCCGCCCTGTTACAATCCTCTCTGCCTGCCAGAAGGTAACCACCGGCTTAACTTTTAGCACCATTGTGTGGTTTTGCCCGTTTTTGAATGTCATACGAATGGAATTATATTCTTTTGTGTCTCAGTGCTTTTGCTGAATGTACTTACGTTTCTGAGATTCTTCCACGTTGTCGCCTGTGGCTGTAATTCGTCGGTGCTCATTTCTGTGTAGTATTCTAATGTATGACTATACCACGATCCATTTATCCAGTCTGTGGCTGATGGACATTTCAAGTGGTTTCCAGGTTTTGACTATTATAAATAATGCCAATACAAAGATTTCTGTAGATGTGCCTTGACGTGCGCATGCATTTTGGTGGGGCCTGTGCTTAGGAGTGGAGTTGCTGTGCAGTCTACATATTTGATAGACAGTGCCAGAGTTTCCCAGAGTGAATGTACCAGCTTACGCTCTTGCAGAAGTGTATTAGTTCCTGTAGTTCCATATCCTCACTCATATTTAGTGTCGGTTTTTAAGGTTTAACCATCTGGGTGTGTATGTAATGGTATCTTGTAATTTTTCTTTTTTTTTTTTTAATTTTTGGCCACACCCCTCGGTATGTGGGATCTGAGTTCCCCAACCAGGGATCAAACCCGCACCCACTGCACTGGAAGGCAGAGTCAACCACTGGACCGCTGGGGAAGTCCCTATCTTGTGATTTCTTTTTTTTTTTTTTTTTTTTTTTTTAACTGCATTTCTCTGGCTAATAAGATTGAACATTGGCCCCTGGGATATCTTTTTTTTTTTTTTTTTGCGGTACGCGGGCCTCTCACTGTTGTGGCCTCTCCCGTTGCGGAGCACAGGCTCCGGATGCGCAGGCTCAGCAGCCATGGCTCACGGGCCCAGCCGCTCTGCGGCATGTGGGATCTTCCTGAACCGGGGCATGAACCCATGTCCCCTGCATTGGCAGGCGGACTCTCAACCACTGTGCCACCAGGGAAGCCCTGGGATATCTTTTGTAAGGTACCTTTTCAAGCTTTTGGCCTGTTTTTCTGTTGGTTGGATGTCTTTTTCTTGTTACAGGAGCAGTTATGTGTTCTGGATATGATCAATCCCAGTGGAGTCATGTTACAAAAATTTTCTCCCAGTCTGGCTTGCCTTTTCACTATAAATGGTGTCTCTGAACAGAAATTCTTAATTTTAGTTTAGTCCAGTTTGTCAGTCTTTTCTTGCATGATTAGTACTTTTTAAAATGTTGGGCTTTATACATTTTCATTTACCTGAGGACATGAAAAAATGCTGCTCAGTTATCTTCTAAAAGTTTTGCCTTTCACACTTAAATATGCAGTTCACCTTGGCACTGTTGATTGTCTCTTTTTTCATTAACTCTATTACTTTAGTTATTTACTTCCAGCTTTATTCTTTGGGTTTAATTTGCTGTTATTTTTTAAACTTCTTGGAATGGATGTATAGTTCACTGATTTTCAGCCCTTCTTTTCCAATAGATGCATCAAAGGCTATAAATTTCTTCTTAGCAATAGCTTTAGCTGTTTCCCACAAGTTTTGATAACATGGTATTTTTATTTTCAAGTTCAAAATATTTTTGAGTTGCCCTTCTGATTTCCACTTTTTACACCATGGCCCTTTAGAATATATTTTTATAGGATG